TTCATTGTGGCTTAACAAGAAACATTCTTTACTTGTAAAAACCATATAAAGAGGCATTCGAACACGAGAGAAAATGATTATGGAAGTCGATGAGTGGGATTGACCGGTGTATTGTATATTCGTTGGTGGTCTGTTTTGAATAGCATCAGTTTTGGTGTTTTTCAGAGGCAATTTACTCATTTACGACCGCAGTTGATTAACATGGAATGGGTTCATCGATCTACGGTTTATATTTTTACAGATTGATGGCGTTTTTGTGGGAATTCCACGGATGTTTCCATCGAACTTTGAGGTGTATTTTTCGAGTTTGATTGATACGAAAATTTATGCATTTCTATTCTGAGGTTTTTGGCTGATAAATTCACTTTTTACTGTGAACTATTTGCATATTAACTTCCTCGCACAACATCTTTATTATTCTTTCTTAATTTATGTAAATTGAGCCAAAATTTAAAATTGACAGCATGCCAATTACTCTTTTCGTAATAATAACTCTTTTTAATGGATCTGTGTAAAGATCTTGTTATTTTACTTTCTTCGATACCGTGTACGTAAATACCTCTGACGCAGTGTGCTTTTGAGAAAACCTGTTCAATATTTGGGATAGAAAAATTTCCTCTTCGTTCGAATCTTGATTGCTCAAGCAAAATTGCAAAATGAAAATATTGTACTGTACATGGCACTTTCCCATCTAATTTTTGAGAAGAAATTCAATGAATGCGATTTGAAATTTAATCCTTTCGCCCTAATTTTGAAAGTAACAAAAAGATACTGGTGAGCTTAATAGTTTCTTTTTTTCCGTGAAAAACGGATTTAGCCTTGTTTGGTACAAATTCCAAGTAAAATTAGTTTATTAGTGTAAGGATAGACCGTTTATTAATGTTTATACATGTAATTGTAAGAAATTGTTTATTGTTCATTATGAGCCGAAGGGATAAGTTGTCATTAAGGCGTTAGATTTAAGTACTAATTACTCAATTAAAATCAACCCTTGAAACCGAAAACTGATTATAGATAGTTAATGATCGCAATACTAATGACCACTAATTGGTTCAGTAAATGTATTTAAACACAGGTCTGAGCATTCTACAGTTATTCTAAAATACGTTCTCAAGAAGAAAACATTTTTGTTATTTTCGAGTTCTCAATTCCTTTTACAATATTAAAAGAAATTTTACGCAGTTAAAATGGAAAACAAAAATTCAATTTCATTCGCGATTAACGCAGCATATTTTGCAAATATTCAAAGTGAAACAAAAGAAAATCAAATCCAAAACGGTCCATTATCATCTGGCGATCGAGGAAGTGTTGCTGTTACATTATCAAAAAAAGAAAAGCTTTTTCAAAAGAAAAGCCCAAAAAAAGTTAATAAATCGAGCAATCATAAACGGTCCCGTGAATCGGATCACACGACCAGTTCATCAAAAAAGAGCAAAAATGCTTCTACATCATCAACATCACGAAATCACAAAAAGAGCAAAGTTGAAGAAACCCCGGCATCCTCAATGAATTCATCGGCAAGTTCAGTGACAACATCAATACCATCGTTATTATTACAAAAATCCGAATTGCCTCCACTTGAAAATTTAGAAATGGATTTGCTTGCGCCACTACCAAGTGAATGTTTTCAAATTAAGGCGAATTCAATGTTCCATGAAAGATACCAACCAACAATGTTGAGTGAAAATGCCTTATTAAGCACATACACAACATCGAAAAAAGCGCACGATAAAGTCTACTCAGGCTCCAAATCTCGAGTTTCATCAACCGTTCCATCGTTAAGTGAATTATGCAAACGTATTCTACAGAAAAATGTTGAAAAACTCAAATACACACGCGGTGCACCATTTGAGGTTTTAAAGCCCGTACTCGAGCAAGTATCACCCGAACAATTGACTCAAATCGAACATTTGAACTCAAATTTGATGGAAAAAACCCATGTACTTTGGCAACAACATTGCCAACGAAAATTCAAAGCGTACAAACGTCAGGAGATGGAGACATGGCGTGAAATGTTCAATCGATGCCAAAGTGAACAGCAAGCAAGATTAAATCAGATAACCAAAAAAATTCTAAAGTCACAAACGGTTACCATTCCTCGACAAATAAAATTGGCCAACGTCGACAGCATGGCCAAACCACCACGAAACATTATAAAAAAACAAAATCAATTAGGAACGCAACGAAAAATGACTGCAACACCAGCCGCACGAGTTGATGCCCTTAGTTCACCTGCAGCGAATTATACCAGACCCACCGCCGATACTCAACCGAAGACAACATCATCAATGGGACAAGCGCCACAAGCAAGACCATCCAACGGATACATAAAGCCAAAAAAAGCACCGCTTATGGCCAAAACGTTACGAATGCTGAAATACAAGATGAGACGATAAACAACAAATCTTCTTTCTTTGTTTAATAAAATAATAAATAATTCTTTTTTTTCTTTGAAAATTAATACTAATTGGAATATTGTATAAAACAAATTTTTTGAAATAGATAATGTTTAATGTGAAGTATTAATAAAAAAAAATCATTCAATATAAATAAATTTGAAATGAATTTTATTTCTTAATTAATTTATTTTGAATTTCGAAAAAAGTAATTTTGGCAGTAGCGACAAGTTTTCACTGGAAAGCGATTTGAATGTGGCGACAATTAACATTTGACAGTACAGAGTACATACTATACACTGTCACACATTAAATTGCACACTCATTGGTATGCTCATTTTGTTTTGCAAAAAGCACGCTATCGTCTACTGGCTTTGTTAATTCTGCCCACTATCAAACTAAAACCAAATATTTGATCACAAAATAAATCGAATTCAAACGCAAAAATTCTGATCGTCACATTTTACCCAACAACCACTTTAATTCGATTGAAATTTATAGATTTTCTGGAAGAAAAAATACATTGATTGTGATTTAATTAAGGTAAGAATAGCATCAGCTTCTTGAGAAGCAAACATAACCAACAAAGCACATACATATTGTGTCATATTCCACTAACTCGACGAATTGTTAACTTAGTGATAAAAAAGACTGAAAATGAGAAAAAAATATTGTCTCTTCTCAGGTTAATAATCAATTGCTTATTCTTGTTTCCAAAATCCAATATGGCCTATGATGCAATAGCATAAATTTAATGAAATTCATGTTTTTAATTTTTAAAATTTAGATGGAAATGCCAACAATGGACTGGAAAAACGAAATGGCTCAGATGCTTACAGCATTTGAACGTCAGGCCATTTATTCGCTGGGCAACATAAAATTGGCATTAACACTCAGTGGCAAGTCATTCAATTCCAAATTCAAGCAGTACTTCTTACAAGTCTCCAATGCTCGGTATACATGCTTTGCTATTGTTTTTCGAGTTTTTTTATATCTTGTAATTGAAATGTATATAAATTTCTTTAAATTTACAGATTGGAAGAAGCTTATAAAACCATTGAAATCGATTCGCAGATTGGAGAAGAACACAATGCTAGAAGTATGTTCGAAGCATCAAGCTTCAATTGGAATGAAAACGAAAGTCAAATGGAACCTAAAGAATCCATTCAGAAGATCGATTACATTAAAATCGATGACTCAAGCGAC